AAAATGAACTCTTTGTCATGTGATTCTTCTGTTTGATGTGGTGATTCTACTGTGATATCTTCATGTTCATGGCTTCCCACTTGCTCTTCATTGATTATTTTTCCAACTTCTTCTTTAATATTTTGCAGCTCATGTGTTGTAAGTCTCTTGTTGTTTTTAATCACACGTTTTTGGTTCATTAGTCGTTGTGCTGTTACTCTTGGTTAAGATGTGGGTATTGCTTGACGAAAAGTTTATGAAGTTCTAAGCGGTATCCTATTTTGATAATTTCAAGTTTAGTTGCTAAGTAATAACAGCGCATGACAGTTTTGTTCATCTCGTCTGTCCATGCCATACGTTGTCGAATACATCCCGCTTTGGTGGTCGCATTTTCGATTTGCGAAACACTTTTAGCAGGTCTGGAGGGTCTGGTTTCATCTTGTTTTCGTACTTTAGTTGTAGGTTTTTGTTCAATGATGTTCTCTGATGTAATGTTTTCTTTAATGACGTTCTCTGGTGTAATGAGTTCAAAGTGTCCATATAGCGTGTATTTCTAGGCTAGTACCATACGTGCTGATTTGTGACATATACTGGCAGTAGGTTTGAGCATCTTTGGACCGCTCACCATTTTCTACTACGTATATTTTGAGAGCAGACCAGTTGTCATGGATGTAGTTGGTGGTGTTCATCCTGATCTATTGATGTTGGTCTTGACTCCCGTACAAGAATAAACTTATTGCTCTGAATAGACAACTTCCGTCCCCTACAATGTATGACCTTAAAAACCTTTTACCTGATTCGTTGCGAGTTCTTACGGTGCCGTCATCCGGAGAGGTGCCGTTTGCTCCATCCTTCTCCGGATCAGGCTGAGTCTTTGGGTGGTTCCGAGAAGAATCAGCCTGCAATTCCTCGCCACCTTGTTTTTTATTCTTTTTGTTGATTACAGCTAGTGGAGATCTCAATGTAAGGGTAGCTAACCCGTACATCGGTTGCTGGGGTCTGCAGGGTTGCGCCCCGTGGTCCTAAGACCCCCCATGCAGGCGAAAATGGCTGTACAGGATTCGCGTCGTTACCTGTAGCAAGTTTGTTACTGCTGGTTACAGTACTCTTATTGGCCAGACATTTTTATTATTATTATTATTATTATTTTTTTTTTTTTTTTTTTTTCACACATTTTTCAGTGGTTGCAACTAAGGGGTAAGTGTCCTACGGACAATTGCTGTTGTTCCGAGAACTACTGCTTTCTGCATTAGGTTGCACGTTTGTCGCGGTAAGTTTAGCTCTTCTAGATGTTTAACTAATTTTGCGTGCACTAAGCCATTGGCGGAGATTATGATTGGCTTAATTTCCACCTTTCTTAGTTCCCATAATTCTTTTATTTCATCCGCTAGTGGACGGTACCGATTTACTTTATCCTTATATGATTTTCCTAGGTTTTCGTCTAGCGGTACGGAGAAGTCAATAGTCATTGCAGATTTGTTGTTTTTGTCTAGCAAGATCATATCCGGTTTGTTGTGTTGGACTTCTCGGTCTGTTATTATCGAGGAATCCCAGTAGACTTTATAACACTCATTTTCTACTATTTATCTACTAAGGTATTTTTCCTGTTTTTAGGTTCCACATTTGATGGACAGCTAGATGAGTTCTTTTCCCATGTTGTTATGCCTGCTTAGGTAAGCTGTAGGGGCTAATTGGTTACAGGCTGATATTAAGTGTTGAATTGTCTCCTGCTCTTTATTACAGAGTCTACACCGGGTGTTCTGGATATCCATTTTGATGATATGTTTCTGATGGCATCGGGTAGGTACTACTTGATCTTGTATTGCGTGAAGAGCACCTTCCGTTTCTGCAAATAGATACCCCTGCGTAAGGTAAGTATTCGAAGTTCTAAAATCCGCATCCTCCTGGTGTAGTGAATTGAAATATCTACCGTGCAGCACTTTTCGTTGCCATGTCTCTTTCATTTTGTTAATATATTCATTTTTTCTTTCAGGTTCCCTGCCAGCCAGATTCAGAGCGGAGTATCCGTCATCCACTGCGACCAGACATTGGTAAAAAGGTAAGTTCTTATTTTTGAAATATTTTCTCAGCTTTTGTGTCTCGTCAAAAAGCACGCTTTCAAGGTTAGTCATTCCACGTCCCCCTTCTTTTCTGGAGATGTATAGTCGCTCCATCGCAGATTTAGGGTGATGTAATCTGAATTTTGTAAATGTTGTTCGTACTTGCCTGTGCAAGTGTTGTATTTCTGTGTGCGTCCAGTCTATTATGCCAAACGAATACGCTAGCCCTGGTACTGCCCACCCGTTGATTGCCTGTATCTTGTTTTTGGAGTTCAGCTCTGTTTTTAAAATCATATTGATCCTTTTAAAGAATGCTGATATTATTCTTTCTTGATTGGCTTTCGTGTCGATACTTAGGCCTTGCGGAAAACCCAAGTACTTGTAGTTGTCTTCCGGTCCCAAGGCAGGGATGGTTGTGATGTTGTCCATCAGGGTCATATTTTCCGACTGTGTGACTTTTCCTTTATCTACGTGCACCACTGCACACTTTTCCAGGCCTATTTCCATTTTAATCGTGTTGGTAAACGCCTTGATGAGCTCTAGCGAGCCTTGCAGTTGTTGTGGGTTTTTGGCGTATACTTTAAGGTCATCCATGTAGAATGCATGGGATATTTTTGTTTCTCTGCTGAGAGCGTATGAGTTTCCACTCTTATTTAACATGCCGCTAAGAGGGTTGAGCGCTAGACAGAACTAGATTGGACTGAGGCTGTCACCCTGGAAAATGCCTCTATTGATTTTTATCTCTTCAGTTCTGTACATTTGAAGATTAAGAGTGGTTCGCCATCAAGTGTTTCAGTAGTGCCTTAAGTTGCGGGTGGATTTTGTAAATGTCTAATACTCTCATTAACCAGGAATGGGGTACTGAGTCGAATGCCTTCTTATAGTCGATCCATGCCATGGACAGTTTTCTTTTCTTAAATTTCGCATGTCGTGTTACGATGTTGTCGATTATAAGAAGTTCCTTACATCCACGTGCTTTTTGTTTACATCCGTTCTGTTCTCATGCGAGTATATTGTTTGTGTTTATGTGATGTGTGATTTTTGTACATATTATTGAAGTTAAGAGTTTATAGACAGATGGTAAACAAGTAATCGGACGATAATTCTTAGGGTCTTTTTTGTCACCGCTTTTGGGTAGCATGTGGGTAACTCTGAGGGTGAAATGTGCTGGGATGATTGAGGGATCTAGGATTGCATCGGCAAAATTTTTTGCTATTTTTTGGTGCATTTCATTAAGTGCTTTCCACCAGTAGTTATGTATGTGATCGACTCCAGGAGCAGTCCAGTTCTTCAGCTTGTTGGTAGCAGTTGTGACATCAGCTTTCCGTATTTCAGGCTGGACCATTTGCTCGGTTGCTTCGTGGGATGTTTCCTCCTGTGCAATCCAGAATGCCCCATCATTGTGAGTCACATTCCGTTCCCATATGTCACTCCAGAATGTCTGCATGTGTTCTTTTTCTGGTGATATTCGTGTGGTATTATCTGTGTTTTGTTGTAGCTGTCTGTAGAATGCTTTTTGGTCTCTTGAAAATAATTTGTTCTCTTGATATCGGCGACATCTTAGCCGGTATCTTCTAATCCTATTCCCTAAAGCTTTTATCTTTTGTTTCAGGTCATCTAGGTGTTTTCGGAGATCCTGCTGGAATGACGGATTGCGTGGATTGATTTTTGCCCGTCTGGCGTAGTTTTTTGCCTGTTTCTGGACTCTTCGGCTGCTCTCAGAGTTAAGGTAAGTATGCAGAATACCTACTTGTCCTCGAATGGTGCCTATTTTGTTCTCGATGCGTCGCTGCCATGGTGGGATATTTTCCGTGGTCACTTTATTTTGAGGTTTTTTGTTTCTAAGTTTGGCGCTGTAAGTTGAGCAGACAGCATGTGCTGCACAGTATACTGCATGGCAGATATCCAGAAGTGTTTCAGACAGAATCGCTTCGTTGAGGGCCTTATTAACTTTGGTAACCATGGTAAGTATTTCCTGATTTAGGGTCAATTTTGGGAGTGCCGGTCTATCTTGTATGGGAATACCTCGGAATTTGAGATCTATTTCCTTCAGTAAATCTTGAATTTCTGTGAGATCTTCTGAAAATACTTGGTTTTGCTCTTGTAGTATTTCTTCGTTAGCTTGAGCTTGTGGAGCTACGTTTGATCGACGGACGGATCTTCTGATGGATTCTCTTCGCCAGTCGTTTTTTAGTTCATCCAGTTCCGCTCCGCTCAGTGCCTTACGTCTCAGGATCGATCGTACTTGATCAGCTAAGCGCTGTGCTGGTAATATCAGCTGTTGGTGCTGCGCATTCCATAGCTCTTCTAGTTTATCTCGATATCCCGTTACGTCCGTTTCCCCTTTCGTCACTTGGTGGTATGCGCGCATTAGCTCTGTGTTCAGTGCTCTAGACCAGCGCATACGCCTACCCTCCATCCATGGGTTTATCCGCTGGATGCGTCGAGCGGGACTTGCCCTATCGGGAGTGTCCAAGCTTTCCGGCGAGGGTATTTTATTTCCCCGGTACCCTCCAGTTCACACTGGCGAGCGTACCCCATCGCCAGGGGCGGCTACCGGTAGCTGACCAGCAACAGCCCCGTTTATTATTATTATTATTATTATTATTATTATTATTATTATTATTTTGTCCAATAGCAGGCGGTGGAAACCGATGAGGCTATTGTCAAATTGTCTAAGTACATGTATTTGATTATAAAAAGAGAAGGCTTTCTCAAAAGCTATTTCTATGGTCCATAATGGACTAGTCTTGACTAGTCTTGAGGTGTATTCCTGCATCTCTTGATCAAGCCATGTTGCGTTGGTGTTATTACATTGTTTTCAACAAAAAATGCAGTCAGATCTTCAACAATAATTATCTCCATACACTTACAAGGATTACATGTAAGGCTGATAGGCCGGTAGTTCGCTGCTAAGTTCCTGTCTCCCTTCTTGAATAGAGGTGTCACAACTGCATGTTTTCAATCTTCTGGCATTACTCCAGTGTCAATAATATTCGAATTCGCTGACACTAGTAGTGGAGGGAGTAAATTTGCAGACTTCTGAAGAAATATTGTCGGAATATCATCAGGGCCTGGACTGGACTCGGACTATTTATTGCAGCGAATACCTTTTTTTCTGTAAACTCTATGTATTCGATACTATTGACGGTTCTTGTTTCAGGAGCCAAATGTTGGAGGGCGCTGGTCGAATTATGGGAAAATGATTTAATAAATTGCTCTGCAAGGTTAGCACCTATTAAATTGTCATCTACGATTATTTAGTTGTTATGGTCTTTCAGAGAAATATGTGAGATACTGAAATTTAAACTTCTGCAAATATATTTATAAAATCTCTTAGTGGATTCCGATGTTGCAATTTCATTTTCAAATCTTGTAAATTCAAAATTTTTCAAAATTCAAAATTTTATTTACGCTTAAAGCATTTTACAAGTTTAACACTAGTCAATAATTAATTAAACTTAAGGAGAGAACAGTAAAAAACAATATCAGGTATCTAGTACAAATGGTATTATAATTTAATCTAGTGATATAGTATGAACTTAATCCAATAGCCTAAGGTACCCAGTCAAAAACAAAATCTAAAAAAACTGTTTAAAAAGTATAAAGAACAAAACAAAACATAAAATTGACAATTAGATCAAGATGGCGAAATATGTTTTAGTTGAAATGACAAATCACTAAACAAAAATAATATTCTTTACTTTACCACTAAATTTTGTAAAAGAATCACAGAATATATCAATATCACCTTTTTTTATCACTTCATTGGTGAGCCTACACATTTTAGTTAAAGGAGAATTCATGCCGTAATTGGTCCTATGGAAATCAATATTAAAAAGACCACTGTTTCTAAAATTTATTGCAGACACATGGATGCGACTGCCGCAAGGAGATCTAGTGAATCAATTAAGTTGTTGACAATTTTATAAAAAGTTGAAACGTCAAAGAATCTTCTTCTACTCTTGAGTGTAGTTAGATTAAGTAATTTCATGATTTCGTCACAATTAATTTCATCATAGGGAATGTTTAGCTTGAATCCGATTCTCCTGATAAAGCGGCGCTGAACCCTCTCTAATTTTTCACTGTGAACAGCATAAAGAGGATTCCACACACATGTGGCATATTCTAAAACTGTGTTCGATCAGTTGTGCACAATATATTTATTTAAATGTAAATATATTTTCAAACCCCGATAGGGCCCGAAAGACAAATCCAAGCAGACGCATGGCCCTATTTGTAATCACAACATTACTGTAAATGATAACTCAGAATCAAACCATACTCCAAAGGTCCTTCACTGAGATCTGCCTCTCGAGCTCCACCGAGTCCAGGGTATATTTAAAGAGAAAAAGGTTCTTTTAGTCGACAAAAAGAAATTACTTGGCATTTACTTGTATTCAAAGATAAGTTGTTATTTTTGCACCAGACTATATCTATAAAGATCCTCCTGCAACAACCGACAATCATTTTCAGATCTTATGATCATGAAAGGCTTCAAGTCATCAGCAAAAGCAAGAAGCTGGCAGACCTGGAAAACATCTTTCATGTCATTAATAAAGCAGTTGAATAAAAATGTTGAAAGATGTCCACCTTGTGGAACACCTGAGGTCACACAGACCTCAGACTGGCTGTACTTATCATATCTTTAAGCATATTATTATGAGTGGTATATATACGATAATTTGGTTCAATTTTTGTTTTTAATATATTCATCCCATAGCTTCCGTTTCTTGTCTAACTCTTTGAAAATTCTTTCATTAATCCAAGGTTTCTTATGGTTAACTTTAACCGACTTAATTGGTATAAAACTGTTGATGGCACTAGTTAATATATTATTCAATTCTTGATAGGTGACATTACTATGAGATTTTTCTTCTATAGAACTGTTGATATTTTCGTAATTTGGAATCCAAAAATTACTTTTCTTAATAATTTGAGTTGGTTGTAGCTCAATTTTAATATGCGTTTGTAGTTACTGGTTTGACTGAATTGGAATTGGTTCCAACAATTGACAAAAATGAATTTAGAAGTAAATTGATCGTTATAGATATATTACTTTTATATTTGTGAAAAATTATTGGCATTATTTTTTATAGAATTGCACAAAATATAAATAAAGTAATTTTGGTGCTTAAAAAGTGAAAATAAACAATGTCCGTGAATGGTGAATTTTGACTTCTAGAAGACCGAGTTAGATCCAAAACCTTTAGAAAAAACTCCACAACTTTGGGGCGCCTGCACATTTGAGGAACTATGATCTTTACTCTTTAGCTCAGATAGAAACCTTGCGCACCAAATATGATTTATTTTTTTCACTGATGTATTTTTCGTATGTACTAGTGATATTTTATAATTCTCAAGTTTATGACACACCATTTATTTGAAAATTGATTCATGTTTAAACTTAATTTTCTACGCATAGTTGATAGTGCGTAGAATGACAGTTTGTAGAACATGTTTTACTTTGAACATTTTCCTATTTTTATGCCATTTATCTATTACATTTACGATGTGATTTTTTGTTGTGTTACCATATTTATTGACACTCAGGGTGTTTTTAATCTTCATTTGTAATTTTATCGTTTGTTTTTAATACCATTTGTTGCGTGGATTCATTTTCTAACACACATGGGATTTACATATTTTTTCTTAAAGTTTTTTTAATTGGGTTAAAATTTTATCAAATTTTCGAAAAATTTAAATATTATACCAAACTGTATGGAATAAACATGCTAAAGTTCAGAAATATGAGGTATCATTTTTAACTATTTCGAGTATGTATCCAACAAGAAAAACCTTAAAAAAACTGGATACCTACTACATATACCGTATGACCAAGGAATTACTAAGCAAGCTCTATCTTAGGCATGGAAATTGATATCTCGATTTTTAGTTTTGGGGATGTATTTTATTCATATCGATGCAGAGTTCCAGCATAAAAACAATTGACTGTAGCTTCCGGTTTGACCGGGAGTGCCTTCAACTTCTCTATGGCAAATTTATTGCCCGCTATACAGGGTGTCCGATTTTCGACGGCAACCATTGGTATATAGGAAACGGTAAGAGATACAGGTTCGGTTAAATTGGGACAAAGTTGCGCAGTTTTTCGCTTAACCAAGCGCCGCTTCGAAACTCGGAATATTCCGAATACTTCCGGAGACATACGGAAAAGACCAAAATTTTGCAAAATCGTTTTTATTTGCTCCTGGGCTCATTTGGAAAGGTATTTCAAACTAAACTTTACTTTAATGTGGCAACTTTCTCCGCTGTACACAATGGTGTAGCCGAATTAAAAATCCGTCGTTTCGTCTTTGGCCATCATCAACTTAATATTTTTAAATACAGGTTAGCATTTTTTCAATTACATATTGTATTCGGAGGTTTTTGATCCCCTAACAGCAGTAACACATTTGGCCATTGATAAATAATCTTTTAATGAAAAAATACGCGTCGAATACACGACCATCTACCTATCTCTTTCCAATGCAAAATTTTCACTATATTTGGAAGTTTTGTAGCATGTGAAATGCTACTGTTAGTAGGTATTTGTTCCCTTTTTCTTTCAAATGTGATTTTATAAGCTAAATTATTACCTGTGTTATTACCTTTAATGTTGACAGTCCGGTGACTAGCATTAAAAAAAAAAGTTTCTGCTGCTAATGATATTAGCAATTATTATTTGAAGTACCAGTAGCCGACCTAGGCAGTGTAGTGGTTAGTGAATCTCCTTCGCATTCCCGGCTTGGGCATGGTTGTTTGTTTAACCGGCTCGTTGGCTTGGCGAGAGGAGTTTCTCAGGCTTGCGTGATGTCGGTGGAGTCTGAACGGACGACCATGGATTGCGAATCGGATTATCTTAGGGTCGGGGATGCATGATAAGGCCGACCATTTAGACTTTAGTAGGAATGGGAAGGAGTAGAGTCCATGCAAATGATGTACAATATGCCAAAATGAGCTTCCGTGCAGAGCATAGGCTCGAAAGGGTGAAAAAAAAAAAAAAAAAAAAAAAAAAACAGTTCTGGTACCACACTTTCCGTTGGCTATTTTTTGAAAGGAAGCTCTGCTTATAGAGATTGTCCGCTTCTTCGTCCTTTCTAAATTTTGCTGTTCGCCTGAAAGGTCGAGCCTGGCTTGGGGGCAGCCATCTTCCTCAACTGTGAATACCGTTCTCGTGAAGAAAAGTACATTATCGGCCATAAGGCATCAGTTTGGCGAAATAAAGTTGCGCAAGACAAAAGTCTCGTGATTACCATTTTATTTACGTTTGAATTTCGCACCCTCTCGTGGTAAGTATTTTTTAATTTTTTGAAAAATAATAATGGTTGTTCATGGAATGCCTCTATTACTTGGGGTTTTCCAAGGAGCCCTTTTTCCGAGGAGTCGAATCCATTTCCACAAAACCACATTTAAAAAAAAAACACCATTTTCGTGGAGCGTGGCATAGAGCTTTCGAAGGGATTCCTAGAGGAATCAAGTCCCTTATGTATTGACTGCTGTACCTCCACATTTGACGACAACTGAGAACTTCTAGCCTATATCTACCTTGATTTCCGCCTTTTGTTGGAATGGAGGCTTGTATAAAGTTTCATTAATACCTATTATATATATAATATTTATTTTTTTTCTCTTTATTATCTATTTTATGATCAATTAACATAATTGATAAATTTTTTAATGACATTACATTTAAATATTTAAAATTTTATTTTCGCATTCTTGACACCGAGGTGATGGTGGAATAATTGATTTTCCGGATTTTTGATTTTGATTTTTGACCTCACTGTGAAAATATATACTAGGTACCTATTATATGATTTGAAAATTGCTTGAGTGTTTTATTGGTTTTACCCATATACCTATTATACTAACGTATATCGCGCCTTCCCCATTTGCCCAATGTACGGTTTTTGAAGCAAACAAAGAGAGATAAAGATGTATGATCTGGCATAAGTCTGTCTTAAGTAGAACAAGGTCACCAACTGCGCTTGCGTTAAACTCTAGATTCTTATTGGCCGGCGGTTGCCATTTTGCAACAAGCTTTTCATGCCGTGTTGTCATGTCAAGCTTAAAAGTACAATGAATTAGGATAATTTTTTCAGGTTATAATTTGGTCGATTGTATTTTGATTCCGAAACACTAATAATAATGAATATATTGGTTTATTTGTCGAAATCGAGTTTGTGTTACACACCAAAATACGAAATCCGTCATGTTTTTTGTGAATGTTCAAATAACTCGAAGATGAAAATAATTTTATTCGCAACCCTGCGATATCAGCTGTTTAAAATTAAATCATATTGGAGGAATAATTTCAAATTGACGCATGCACATTGGAAAAAACAAGTTCACTTTAGACAAAGAAGGGCAAGAAGGCATCGTTGTATCTCATGATGTTTGCTTCAAGAACTCAAACTAACCCGCGGTATACGTAGTATAATAGATATATGGTTTTACCTATGTCAAGATTTGGTTGAGTTATATGCATTATTTATTTCCTTTTCAGAATTATCAATTACCGTTTGCTGCTATTTTTTTTTAGATGTGTTTCTGAATTTTCACACATCAATATTCAATGTAATTTAATTGTTTTATTCAAATTCAGTGGCGCCTTTGCCATTCTGTATTTATTAAACTATTGACCCACCCATAATAATTATTCGCTGAGCAAACTGAGCATATTATGGGTCTCTTGTTAATTCATTACCAAGAAGGGTTACAGTTTTCGGAATAAGCCAAATTTCGAAGTGGCATTTTGTTAAGCAAGAAGTTGCGCAACTTCGCTCCAATTTAACCTAACCTGTACCTCTTACCGTTTTCTACATCCCAATAGGCCGGCATAGACACACGTTCTTTCGCGCGGTTTATCGTGTCATCTGCAAAAACCTGTGAAAAATCATGTGCGTGAGTAAGGAGGGCTGCGCGGAATGATAGAATGGGAAGGGATTTTAGACGTGCTTTCATCTGGAATGTGGCGTCAGTACTCAAGTAGGTACACGATAGTGCAGCTCACATCCGTGTCCATACGCCATTCCACGTCACGGTTTTGAGGCTAGTACGGAGAAATAAACGCAGCATAGCGAACTATCACGTTGAAAATTAGTACATGACAACATGCACATCCAAACGACACGATAAATGACACTTTTTACCCATAAACATACGGTTTTTCCTTTCCAACTGATATGCCGCGCGTAATCACGTACTAAATCATTTGAAAACTTTGTCAAGTGTATGGCACATGACGCTTTTTTTGCCACGCCGTTCTTTCGCGCATGCAAACCGCTACATCCCAACACGCCACGATAAACCGCGCGAAATAACGTGTGTGTATGGCGACCTAATGGTTGCCCTCGGAAAATGAGACCACTACGAGAAATTCTAAGCATAATCCATAATAAACATCCCCAAAATGTAAAATCGATATCGATTTCCATATGCCTAAGTAGAGCTTGGTACCTAAGTCTAAGTAATCTCGTGGCCACCCGTATAAAGTATAACAAAAAAAAAGTAGATATTGTACAATCGAAGATATAGAAGAAAGGTATAGTCTGGCTAGCGAAACGGCGAACTCCAATAGAATTTGCTGCTTTGCCAAACTTGACGGAAACTCTAATAAACAAGTTAGTGACATTTTTTTTTTCGCTATATGGTCATAGGTAGTATTTTGAAATAGAAAAAAATCCGTCAACATTGCGAAATGATGGATGTAGAGAGGCGCGATTATTCAGAGGCATGATTCTATTGGTTAGAGTCTGAACGACAGCACGCAGTGGCGTGGTTATTGGCGAAACTAGAGATTTTTTATCTAATAATTTTATTGGTTTATTTCCCTGGTGTTTTCGGTGCCACTGAACCCAAAGACATGGCTGTCTTCAGGCGGTGTCAGTTGAGGTGTCATTGAATATTTTTAGGCTACGCCCCTTTTTTCTTCCCCCTTTCGTCTCTACCAAGTTACCACTTGCCAGACTATAGGTACTAGGAAAAATTTCTAACACACTAAAATAAATGTGAGAGAGATTGATGGAAGACTATTTGGAAAGTCAAAATTAGGTACCTATGTAGAAATATGGGGAAGATTGGGATAAAGATCCAAATGCAACTAAAGGTACGGTTTGTTAGGATAGTACGCGACGCACAACTGACAACGTAAACGTCGTCATTGGTTCAGGTATGACGTACACCAAGCGTACACCCGTTTTCTGACGTCAGAAAATGGGTGTACGTCATACCTGAACCAATGGCGACGTTTACGTTGTCAGTTGCGCGTCGCGTACTATCCTAACAAACCGTACCTACCTTAAGGAAGACAATGCAGTAGTTCTACGCAAGAATGATGAACATTGTCGTAGCTTCAAATTCAATTTATTGATACCTAACCTCAAATTAAGAGGCTTTCTATAATTTTTAATGTATATTAAATAGAATGTCTTGTTCATCTTCAAATTACTCAGAGAATGTGAGACATATGGAAGTTTCAAACCGCAAACTTTTAGTCACTTTGCATAAATATAGCTTCAGCTTCCGAACACTACTTAGTCTGAGGAAACTGTACTGTCCATCTTAAGAATACAGTTGAGAGTTTTTAAAAAGTGTATTTGTACTTATATTTACAAGAATGAGCGTGCCTAATATTAATAAAGTGCTCAGGAAACAATAGAAAAAATGAGTTAATATATGGTGACATCGACTAACTAAACCTAGATTTATTGCTTTATTGGAGATTGGAGGCAATGGAAGAATTGAGTGAATTATTTATTTAATTGCATCTGACCAGAATTGAAACTGATGCTCTAAAACCGATAAACCTTTGTTCGTCTAGGTGTGGTTAGTCCATGGTAGTGATACTTAAGACAACAGGTCAGGGATTGAATTTTTAAAAACAAATTCTTTTTTATGGAAATTTGCAAATTCGATGTTTTTAAAAACTCTTCGCCCCCAGGAAAAGAAAGAAAAAATCTCACTAGTAGAAACTGGCTCACTAAAAGGAATCTGCGTGGTGGTTCGTGGTGGTCCTAGTACCTCGATGCTGGAAGCGTTTTTACCGTCAACACCTCGAGCGACGCACTCGTACCAGCCGAAGTCGTCCTCGACGGGGTTCCGGATCTCCAGCGTACTCCGCCTCCTGCAAAAATACAAACCTTCTCTGTAATTATAAACTATACACATCAGTTGCTAGCTACTATACGCCCAAATAATTCGACTTACCCGTCTTTTATTTCATCCTCACTTCGATTGCATATTAAAAGCAATTTTTAATTTTGGGATTTTACATCAGAACATGCATGAAGACAATTTTTCGACGAGTTGCTCGGATAACAGTGTTTTGAGTGGACAATTATTTTTTAGGATATTCAAAAAGTTTTACTGAAATTAACTCTGCAAAAAAAAAACAAAAAAAAATCCAGAGGCTCGTTCATCTTAATTTTATGTTTTTTTTTTTTGCGATTCTTAGTAGGTACCGGGTGTCAACTTATAAAGTACCACCCCCTGTATCCTTTTTTGTTTTTAATCGCACCCCAAAAAGAAGGAAATCGCCATGAATGGGAAATTTTTGTATTCCAAATGCTGATATGACTTGAAAGTCCCTATTCAAATATACAGGAGGCAGTAAAAAGTATATATTTTTTAAATTATACACCCTGTATATTATGTCACCATTCGATACATATTTTCAAACCCCCTATTCAGAAAAACCTTATTTGACATATTTTTCTATACTTTATTAAAGTAAATAAACTAAAGGAAAACACTGAATTAATAGGTATCTGAATCTAGTTGAAAATAAAAACTTTTACCAAATTAATATCTATTATTTTTTACTGGTCGAAACGGATATTTCCTCGCTGATTAGCAACACATCCTTGAAAACTTGTCTGTAGGTGAACTAACGCATTTTCTATTTTATGTGGTTCGTATTCATTTAATATATTGATCTCTTCCTTAAAAAAATACTTAATATCTTCTGTGTTGTTAATGTTCAATTTGTAAATTTTATTTTTTATATATCCCCATTATTCCTCATAAACAATTATCCAGCGGTCTTAAGTCGGGGCTATTTGCTGGCCATGGAATTATCCCATTTCGTCCTATTCATTCATTAAAATTCGTATCAAGATAGAGTTGCAGTCTTTGTATTACATGTGGTGGAGCACCATCGTGCTGAAAAATAATACGCCCATATTTCCTTAGAGGCAGGTTCTCAAGTTGCTCTTCTACATAATTTTCTAGAAAAACGGGATAAAGTGGACCAGTTAGTGTATTTTCGAAAAAATACGGTCCGATTATTTTATTACCTATTCCACATTTACTGCTTCACGACCTTGAAACCGAACTTCTCTTACAATATTTGGCTTCTGAGTTACCCACTGTCTAAAATTGTGATGATTTGGTATACCAGTTGTGGAGAAGCTGGATTTATCTGTTCATAATAAATGTTTTTAAAAAAATCCCCATCATTGTTAAATCTATTTAACATTAAATTTCTGCCTCGGTTCTTTATGCCTCTCGCAGTCAGTTTTTGAACTTTCTGAAATTTATGAGCCTTAAATCCGTATACTTTTTGAGGAACTTACAAACACATTCATGTGAATTTCCTCTTCTTTCAAATTGTTCTTTCTAATTTTTTGATACTGTTCGAAACAATATCTTTTCTTTCTTTGTAGAGTCGACGTTCTTCGAACTGTCGTAACTATGTTTCTGATCCTAGTCTTTCTCGTTGGGGATGTTCATGTTGGATACATTTTGTCACTGTCATCGGTCGGTCCAGCGATTTTTCTCTGTTATTTGCTTCCAATAGAATAATGGTTTATTCACAAGAAGAAAAGCAGGAAATTTTGTGTTTGTTTATTGAAAATAATTATAATTCTTCGGCTACAGAACGAGCTTATCAAGCCAGGCATCCAAATCGCAAAGCCCCAACGAGAAAGACTATCAGAAACATATAAAGGATATTTCGAAGAACGTCGACTCTACAAAGAAAGAAACGCGTGTCGCTAATCGAGAAAATACAGAACTAGATATTGTTTTGCACTGTGTGAAAAATCCGATGAAAGCACTTAGAGTAGCATGAAAAGGTTTGCAAGAACAGTTTGAAAGAAGAGGAAATTCATATGAAAGTGTTCGTAGGTCCTTAAAAAGAACGGATTTAAGGCTTATTAATTCCAGAAAGTTCAAAAACTGACTGAGAGGCATAAAGAACAGAGGCTTCAGTTCAGCAATTTAATGTTAAATAGATTTAACAATCATAAGGATTTTTTAAAAAACATATTATGGACGGATGAATCCAGCTACTCCACAAGTGGCATACCAAATCGCCAAAATTTCAGACAGTGGGTAACTCAGAATCCAAACTTTGTTAGAGAAGTTCGATTTCAACTTTCAAGGTCGTGAAACAGTGAATGTGTGGTGTGGAATACTACGTAATAAAATAATCAGGCCGTATTTTTTCGAAAACACACTAACCAGTCCACTTTATCGGGTTTTTCTAGAAAATTATGTAGAAGAGCAACTTGAGAACCTGTCTCTAAGGCAATATGTTTTTCAGCATGATGGTGCTCCACCACATGCAATATAAGAGTGCAACTCTATCTTGATACGAATTTTAATGAATGGATAGGACGAAATGGGACAATTCCATGGCCAGCAAATAGCCCCGACCAGTAAAAAATAATGTTAATTTGTTACAAGTTTCAAGTTTTTATTTTTAGCTAGATTCAGATACCTATTAACTCATTGTTTTCTCTTAGTAAATTGACTTTTTCTATAACCATCAAAAAATGAACAACTTTCGTCATATTTTACCTTAGCCGAAAACGACATTTTCGTCACCAGTGATAGAAAAATGCTGTTTTCGTCACTCGTTAAACAATATAGTATTAACTAAGTATAAAAAAATATGTCAAACAAGGTGTCACTGAAAAGGGGCTTGAAAATATGTATCGAATGGTGACAGGGTGACATAATAACCAGGGTGTATAATTTGAAAAATATATACTTTTCACTGCCACTGCCCCCCGTATATTTGAATAGAGACTTTCAAGTTATCATCAGCATTTGGAATACAAAAATTTCCCATTCATGGCCATTTTTTTTTGTTTTTGGGGTGCGTTCAAAAATAAAAAAGTTACAGGGGGTGGTACTTTAGAACTTGACACCCGGTACAAAGTCGAGTACAAGGAATATCAACTTTGAAGGATGAAAGAGTACTAAAATACTGTGGATTTTCAAAAAAAGAATCTTGGAAAAGAAACTACATTCCTATATCACTTCTATTCCATTTAGTGAAGCTACATCTACTCATTGAAATCATTACTGTCAGAATATCAGGACTCATCGTCATTTTCAATCATCAGAGCAGACTGTTTTCAGACATGGCATGGATACAGCAGCACATTTACACTACAAGACACCTGAGGGAAAATCCTATGGTCTATGAATATATTAGTGATTCATAAGTCAACCGATGCTCGATGGCGAATGAGGTCGATGTGTCTGTGAAGCTGACGCAGGAAAATAGAGGAAGTGAAAGCAGACCTAACAAGGTGTCTCAACATTAAATAACGTGGAACAAAAAAGGCGCAGGTAGTGCATTTAAAAACTGGAATCCGTCGAATAATAGGTTTGTTTGTTATCCTCCACTAGTGCACAATAGTTTACACTTTTCTGCACTGAGGCGTTTGTTATGGGGTTAGTGCAAATAGTGTGAGACGTTTGTTATCTCAGTGTAGGGTGCCCAATCTTGCACTACCTACACCTACTCAAGAGGAGGAGTAACAAGTGCAGAATGTGGAGGAGGCAATGTTGTTGTTTTGCATGACACCAAAAATTATGTTTTTCCTGAATTCGGGTGACAATTGACAATTTAATTTCTCTTGTCCACATTAGACCGTCGAATAACTTCATCTGACATTTCGCTGATACATTTTGTCACTCGGTAAATTATTTTGTGGATGTGGATCCCGATAAGAACAGGCTTCGTGGCCAGCAAACCACAGAAATACCGCCAATTGTTTTTGTAATTTGTAGTCTATTCTATTATAATGATCCAGGCTGGCATACTCTTGGCTGTTACCATATTTCTCAGCTAATTCACTAAATAAACCTCGATTAATACGGAAATGCCTCTTGAATTCGATATCTGTATGAAGGCACTACATTCTCAAAATAGTTTCTTATGCAGTTTCGTTTATTGCGCTTCTGGGTATTTAAAAGTACTTCAATAAAGCTGTCGTCAGAGCTGGAAGATAGGGAATCTGGGGAATCTTCTTCATCTTCCTCTATAATTTCGGACACTAAAACCTTGTACATTTTTTTTTATTGATGTTAGGCATTTTTTTCTCGGAGTTTCCACATTAATTTAACATATTATGCCTAAATAATAATTTTTTTTAAGTAAGATATCCGCTTCTATCGCTGCACGAACACTGTCTGCATTAACGCGTTTGGGAGTTTTCCTTTACCCTGGTTGCCATAAACTACACCTGCAGCCTGCACTGACATACCCTACACGGAAATAACAAACACAACTAATATAAAATATCTAGCAAGAAACTTTAATTTTTACTCTCATTAAGTAACATTTTAAAACCACAATCTTCATCCAATCTGTATTCAGTGGACTAGGACTTTCTGAGGTAAAGCGGAGAAGGAAACCTGCATTAATCATTGATCTGAACTATACTATTTATAAGGGCCCGGTGAACGCAACATATTGTGGCGTGTTTTCCAGTATTTACGGAATCTAACTTGAAATCTAGAAAATACGTCTTTATTCGGGCAAAAATATTATCGCGTTTATTCTGGATTCTACACGAATAGATTGTATACCTGATTTTGACTGCGATAATGAATTTTCAAGTAAGTTCTAGAAAATTCTATTTGGAAACCACGGGAGATATCAAATTTCTGACTTCGCTGACGTATTCGATACATCAATCGTCATTTAGAAAAAGAATTACGAGGAATTTCGGGAAAATTCTAGAAAATTCTATTTGGAAACCAAGGGAGATATTGAATTTGTGACTTCACCAACGTATTTGCTATATCAACCGACATTCAGAAAAGACATTTCAAGAAAATTCTATTCGAGAATAAAGCAAGTTATCCAATTTGTAACTTCACCGGCGTGTTTGGAACTTCAAGCAAAGATCAATAATTGAAGAAAGTTTGACGGAAATTCTAGAACATTCTGTATATGCCTATAACGAAACAACAAGCAAAAATGGAAGAACAAAAAGTTGAAGAACTTCTGCGTAAAATGTTGGAACTTCAAGAGACCAAACGACAACAAGAAAACAAGACGAAGAGTCTAGGCGACAAAAAGAAGAAGAAGACGGAGAAGTTAAACGACAACAAGAAAAACAAGACGAAGAGGCCAGATGACAAAAAGAAAAACAAAACGACGTTCAGGAAGTGAAAGCTGAGGTCAAAGCCGATGTTCAGCAATCAAGACAAGAAGTTGGGTTTCAAGTTCAAGCATTTGAAGATAAGGTGAATAAATTAGAAATATAGTCCATCAATCCAATTAGTGTTGGGACATTCTCTAGTATGAAGATAAAACCACCAACTTTTGACGGCTCTACGTCACAACAGCACTACGAGATCTTCTTCAGTCTATTCCTTCAATCCACCAACAGAATTACCAGCATCCAAGTCAGACATAAGAATTGTGCTTCGGAGACCATTTCAGACAGGAAGTATTTAGAACTCAAGTTAAATCAAGAATTTAAAAACCCGGCGAGAGTTTACAAGAATTCGAATCGGAAGTTGAAAAGCAAGTGAGACGTTTCCTGCAGCTGGGGAAGACATGCAGGAATGGATTGCACTATCTGCGTTTATTGATGGTCTCAGAGATTTTAAGATCCAGGAAAACCTGAAAATGTTTGAGTTCAAACAAAGTAGCGAAGCCTTGTCCGAGCATTGGAACTGGAAGCAATCTTTGGTGCCTCACGACCCAGAATACGAGCAGTGTCAATTGAAGACTCAAAGGATAAACAATCGTCAAAAGAAGATAGTAACTTCAAAAATCTTACGAGTAAGTTCATGGAGAAAATGGAGAAACTAGTATTAGAAATTAGACAAATGGGAAACGACTCCAAACAAACACCAACACCGAGAAACCGAGTAAAATATTACCGGTGCCAAAAGCTGGTTGTAGACTTAGGATTTCCTCTCCATTTAGGGATCGTTCCCAACGCTTTTGGAGATCTAGAGACGCCAGCCGCAAACATCGACCTGGAAACATGAATGAGAAAAACACTGGTCCGGCTGTGAGAAGAACGGGTCTTATCGTCGATGATGAATGGACTACCAAACAAATGAGAGCAGATCAAGAAGCAGACCAGGACATCGGGCAAATTTTACATCTTAAAGAAAATGATGAATGTAAGACAGAATGGAGGGAAGTGTCGAACAAGAACTTGATTTACAAGACGATGTGGGCTCAGTGGAACTCTCTGGCCGTAGAAAATGGTTTACTTAAGAGAGTTTAGGAAAGTGCCGATGGGAAATCCACTAAGAGCCAAGTGTTTATTCCAAAAGATTGAGTAGAAGATGTATTAAAAGAAATTCATGACGGAACTTCAGGGGTACATTTTGGAATTAACAAAATTTTGGACAAAATTCGAGAACGTTTTTACTGGGTTCACTATCATGAAGACGTTAAAAACTGGTGCCGAAAATGCGACATCTGTGCTACCAGTAAAGGCCCTAAACTAAAATCTCGGGGGCCCATGAAACAGTACAACGTCGGTCTCCCATTTGAACGAATAGCGATAGATGTTGCCGGACCATTCCCTGAGTCAGAGCGTGGTAACAAATACATCTTGGTTATCATGGATCACTTCAGTAAATGGCCAAAAGTTTTCGCTATTCCCAATCAAGAAGCCATCACTATTGCCCAGGTGCTAATGGACGAAGTTTTCAGTCGTCATGTGTGCCACTAGAGTTGCATTCAGATCAGGGACGAAAGTTTGAATCTGCGATCTTTAGGAAAATTTGTGAGATCATGTGTATTCGTAAGACAAGGACAACAGCTTTACATCCACAGTCTAATGGCACAATAGAACGATTTTATGAGACTATAGAGGAACACCTGAAAAAATTGGTCGCAAAGAACCAGCGAGATTGGGTCGAACACTTGCCTCTATTTTTAATGGCTTACAGAGCAGCTGTTCACCTGTTGAGAAAGTTCAGCTAGAATCGTTTTTGGAAGGGAGCTCAGGTTATCTTGCGATCTGATTTTTGGAAGACCTGAAGAAAAAGAAAAAGAAATTCGAGACTATGCCGACCAAGTAAGGGCACGACTTCTGGAAATACACGATTTTGCTCGGGAGCATATCCAGCTGGCCAGTGACCGAATGAAGACCGGATACGCTTTGAATGCCAATTCAGCCGGATTTCGAGAAGGTGATTTAGTGTCGCTGTATAATCCAGCAAGAGAGATAGGAGTGTCGCCGAAATTGTCTTCAGCATGGGAAGGACGAAGAACCCTACAGAATAATCAAGAGGATCAATAATTTGGTTTATCGAGTTCAGCGCAACACCAGGAGTAAGATGAAAGTTGTATATTTGGACAGATTGATGAAATATGATGGGCGCGAAATTGATCGGGACGATCAACCTTAAGAGGAGGGCAGGGTGGCGCGTTCGTCAGTATGTAAAGAATCTAATTGGTGGTAGACGCTTTTTACTCATTGGGCGTCGACCGGTGAGATACCACCATGCCAGAATTGAGTAGCGCTAAGTGGTATCACCACGTTCCGCTACTGCGCTGGCAGTCCGGTTCCAACAATGAGTAACAGATAGCATGATGGCGCCTCCAGGATCAAAATATTCCGGAGGTAAAATACCCGACCACTCGGATCTCCGGGCGTCGGGTGATCCTGGGGGTCCTTCATGCAAAGATATAAAGAGAAGATCAAAAACTCAACTCAGAATTGATTTTAGCAATATAAAAGGAATAAGTACAAATATGAATTCAGTTCACCAACATCTTGAAGAACAAAGACCTGACATCCTTGTTCTCACTGAAACTAAAATCAGTTCTGCAACACCTATTGTGAACTATCTTTATCCCGGCTATGACCTACACCACCGATTTCGACATAATTTTGGGATCTGTGTGTACATTAAAAATGACCTTTCATGTCATCGAGAGGAGAAGCTAGAACCAGCGAACCTTGATATCATATGGCTAAAATTCACCTCAAAGTCATCGACCAAGTTTATCTGCTGCCTCTACCGACCGCCATCTAACACCCAGTACCAAAACTTTTTCGCGACATTATCCGAAAGCTGTGATAGTATACAGTCAAACTATCCACAGGCGGAAATTGTCTTTTTAGGCGATTTCAACGTCCATAATATACCCTGGCTGAAACACCACAACAAAACAGATAACGAAGGCAGAGAAGCAGAAGCTTTTGCCATAAGTTGTGGTCTAACGCAGCTTGTCGATGAACCTACCCGTATCTCAGAAAGGGGCGAATTTGCAGCGCTTTTAGACTTGTTCCTAACCACAAATCCTGACTCGTACACAATTCAAGTAGATGCTCCACTTGGTTCGTCCGATCATAAACTTATAATAACAAAGTGCGAAATGCTCATCCCACCAAGCCAACAACCACTTCCTCGTAAAATGTGGCACTATAAATCGGCAAAATGGAATGACCTAAAACAGTTTTACCTGGATTTTCCATGGCAAGAGGTTTGCTTTAAAACAGCTGATCCCACTATTTGCTGTAATGAAATAACACAAATAATCTTATCTGGAATGGATGCATATATCCCACATACAACTAAACGTAGAGCTAATGCAAAACCTTGGTTCAACGGCCAGTGTCAAACGGCTGTACAGAAAAAACACAGAGCATATAGCCTTTGGAAACGACAACAAACCGCTCAAAACCACACAGAATTTATAGAAGCCAGAAATAGTTGCAAAATTACTATTGACTCCGCTAAAGAAACATACAATCAAAGACTAAAAAACAGGTTGCTGAATTGTCCAAGTAGTTCTAGGTCCTTTTGGTCTCTTGCAAAAGCTGTTGGATCTAACTTCACCAAGTCATCCATACCACCACTTACAGATAAAAATAGTCACTTAGCCACAACATCAGAGGAAAAAGCCAATATGCTGGCCCAAATGTTTTCCTCCAACTCCAACCTAACAGTGCCAAACGGAAAAACTCCACCGTTCATTGAAAGGGTTTCCCATAGTATGCCAGAGGTACCCTTTTGTCACAGAGAAATACGAAAATCCCTTAAAAAGCTAGATACAAACAAAGCAATGGGTCCGGATGGCATTC